AAAATACCAACCCATCCGTCCACGGGGGGTACCCCCAACATTTTGACAGGAAACTGTACATACTGCTCCATTCGATCCCATCATGACCAAAATGCCGTGCCCCCTCCAAACAAAAACAGGCCGACAATGTCATACCCACCAACACTACCACTCGTTACGTCCGTTCCGCTACACCAACCAAGCAAAAGACACAGCACAGATTCACATTGAACCAAGAACAAACCCAGAACTTGATCAGAATTCGAAATCGTTTCCCAACAAGAAGCAAACGAGATGAAATAAATAAATAAATCTGACAGAATACTGACAGAGGGAGGAGGAGGAAACAACACCCATGAAACCCTTAGATACATATCGAGATGATCCCATTTTTTCCAGAAATTTCAAACCCTACGTCGAGATCACGACCACCACCCTTTCACGGAATCGATGCTGCCATGCCATCACACATTTCCCATGTTGTCGCTCTCCCATATTACTCATTCTGCACACATCCCCATATATTTTGATGCATTACATTGCTTTCATCACGAGAAAATGATGCAGTGCTCAGTTGGGAATTTGCCTCATTTTTTTTGCCACGAGAAATGATGCAAATTGAAATGGATTGTATCCTGTTTTCGCAGAATCAGCAACGAATGACGAGTGGACTTCGCACCTCGAGAGAAGAAAGTGAAAGGATCCAAGAGAAGATGATCTGTGCTGGTTGACTCTCATCTGATTCTACGTGGCAATAATAATGATGATTATGTCCGTAAGTTTTGATTTCGAAACCGAATAGGACAAACCATTAAGAGGGGAAAAGTCTGCTAATGATTTCCAAAAAAATAGAAACCTTATTCGTTCATAAGAATTTCTTGTTTTTGCGTCATTAACAAAAGTCACATGCAACTGCTCCAACTTTCATTTCGGTTTGTCTTAAGTTTTATAAATATAGGCAGATTCTAGCAGAAAATATCTTTCCTTATCAAATAATGAGATTGGCTGCATTGCCTTTGACACAAGAATAATGAGAGCGGAGTCAAGAATGGAATGCAAATGTGAGCTGCAATCCAGTCCTCATTATCTAACTCACTGATGACGACTATTCTACTTTCTCCTCCCCCAAAACCTACCAAGATTTAAAATAGATTAATCATTTCTTCTACTCGTCTGGTCTAAACCTTGATGACATTTTCCATGTAGGAAAGATCACCATGTTATGAAAGTAGTCTTCTTGATGGACGGACAAGGGTGCATAAATTTGAATAAAATAAAATTTTGATAAACTTTCTCCCAATGGAGGATCAAAATTTTGCCAATGTTTGGCCTGGGAAATTGTCAAAAGTGCATCTTTTCAGATGATAAGAGAAACTAAAGTAAAGTGAAAGTGAAACTAATTCAATCGTTGAGATCGTTCTATTTTGGGAGAAAGTTTGACTTATTTACTTCTTTCACTTTCTCTCTCTTCCGACCTAATTCTGATTTGTTACTGTTGTGTGTTTCCGATTTCTTGCACAAAAGTATTGGCTCCATCCTCCCACATGATCACGACAAGAATGAGGACAATGAATGAATACATAAAAGTGGATTGTGTTTGTTCATTCAACTTTTCACCAGAGTGAAAGTGAAGAACTCTTTTTTAGCCTGGTTAGTACTGCAGCACTTGTTGGGTGGTTTTCCCTCCTCCTTGTCTGACGCTTGATCTTTCCTTTGTTATTTATCGTAACTTTGGCCAAGACTTAAAGTAATGTGACAATGAATTTGTCACATAAACTTGGATCAAAGTCAAACGTATTATAAGTTTGCCAAATAAAGTAAAGATTCCAATTTTCCTCACCAATTGTAGCCTAGAGAATTTATACAGTACAGTTCTCGTGACGATTCATGTAAATTCCGGCCCATATTACATTTAGGAAATGAAACAAGTGGACAAGTTTTTAAGAAATATTGAGTCTCGAACCACACTACTAAATATGTATAGCCATGTTGCATTCACTCTTCACACACACTTTCCCTCTTTCTCAATTTCATGTTCAAAGTGAAAAAGTTTGACACGTAATTGGCCAACTTTCCCTTCCTCCTCCGTTGTCTAGAAGAAAGCTTTAAAACTATGGACGAATTGTGTAACTGTGTATCGAGTCACGTCACAAGACGAGGAGAAGAAATGTCTAAAAGAATGGGAAGATTTTACAAAATCCAATCCTACATAACCCAGTTTGTTAACTTTATTTTATTTTATGAAAAGTCTGATTTTTTTAGACTACGCTACGATACATACGCGGAAGGACCAACTTTCCATAACTTATGACAAGTCGGAATCAAATCTGACTATCCAACTAAATCCAAAGATTCTTCTTGTATTATCTTTTACCCAACTTTCCCCACCATTTCTTTGACTTTATTGAGTGAAAATGAAACCAGATCGTGTATGTATTAAAAGAAAGGAGGAAAAGTGGAACAATTTGAATAATAATTTAAGCAAACTATATTTGAATGAATATAAAATAAACATGAAAACTTTTTCTAGTTCATAAAGAAGAAGAAGAAGGAAAAGAAGAAGTATGTAAAATGAAAAAAAAACTTTCACTTTCTTTTTCTTCTTCTGCCTTGGTCCAATTTCATTTCCGCGAATTCAAGCAAGTGCAGAAATGCAGATTATGGACCAATATCGCCACACACTTTGGATAAAGGAAGCATTCAATACGCTCCAAGGACGAGGTTTTGACATGCAAAATCACCGTATTGACTGACTTCTTTCCATATAGTGGGGCTTCTTTGGTTCTAAATTACGCTGTTGGGCTTACATGCATACGCCGCTGTGTCAATGTTTTTGAGAAATTCACTAGTAAGTTGGTCGTCTTCTTTCAATACATATTTCGATCCGACGACGAGGACGACGAAATGTCAGAGGGTTCAACTTTTATCCAATCCGGCGATAACTTTCCTACTTTGGCAGAATGGAGTCCAGATTTGTTAAAAGGGCAAGAAAAGCCTTGTCCTGCTTCTTTTACTCGGCAAACTTTTTAATGAAAAGGGATCTTCTTGTAAAGCAATTTAATTTAATTTAGGACAACTTTTAGAGGAAGATGATGTAGAGAGAGTGATCAGATCAGTGTATAAGCCATTTTCTGAAAGGGACTATAGCGCCTGTAGGAGCGTAATTCATTCCGGATGAAAATAAGTAAATGGATCACGGGATAATAGAAATGGTAATTCTGAAGAAATTTTGGGGAACGATGTTGTTAATGCTGTGATATTTATGTAGATCAAGTAAATACAAAAGTTTGCCCGTCATGGTCAGTTCGTTGCCAATATTGGTTTAAAAGTTTGAGAAATGGGACCAAATTTTGTGTCTTGCAACCCCGACATGTTTTTAAGAGTTAATTTTTAATGTAAAAAGTACATAAAAATACAGTGCATCCTATGATAAACTGCGTTTTTGCATTGCATCACTCTTCCCACAATACCTTAGTCACATGGAAGATACCCAAAAAATGTCTCACACTCCTACTATTTCTCCGAAATATCTAATCCAACATTTGTATTAAATTTTTAGAAAAGAGATCAAATTTTGATCTCATTTGGGTCTTGCATCACCCGACATATTTTTAAGAGTTGATTTTTAATGTGGTAAAAATAAACATAAAAGCACAATGCATCCAATCGTAACCTCGGTTTTTGTGTTACATAATATCACTCTCGCCACAATGCATAAGCTCTGTCGTCACATTAAAGATGCCCAAAATGTGTCTCACTGCGAAATACCTACCTACTCACTCACTCACTCACCCATCCACCACCAGCACCCAGACAACCGGATGTCCAACCTAATGTCTAACATTTGCCAAAAAATATGTAGACAAGAAAACGACCGAAATAACACCCGTGTCACATCAACATCCCACCCGCCCGCCTGCCTTCATCCATTGTTTGACTGTACGTGATTCAGGCCAACTTTCTCCTCTTACCAAAAACAGATATGTACGCACATTTGATCATGCACATAAAAATACGTGCGGCACGAACAAAACTTTCTCCTTCTTTCGCTATTTCTCTATTTTAGTTTTGGAACCAACTTACACTATCAAAAGAATTTTGCCAATTCGTTCCCAAAATTCCTCAACTTTTCTTACAATCACTAACATGCTTGGCTCCGTTTCAGAGGGAAATATGAGTAATTTTTTCACACTTTGTGTCAGCATTTTCGTTTACTCTTTATACATTTTTGTTGTTTATTTAATATGTACTTGGAGAGAGAAAGCAATTAAAATTTGGCCGCTGCTTTCATAACGTAATTAGTCACGTAATAAAAAACTTTATATATTATTCCTCCACTTCTTCTTGGTGTAATCAGTACTGACTGACGTAATGCAAGTGGTGGTGGTGAAAAGGTGGAATTTTACACCAAAAAATTTATGAATGACGTGATGAGCATACGTGATATGAGGAGAGGCGGTTAAAAATAGGTTATGACTAATTTCGAAGGAAAATTAAAGAAAGAATAAGAAATTTTATTATTCATAATTAACTCCATAATTTCCATTTGGATGCATTTACCCAGTAATTATTTAGCAATTAATGCACCCATGAGGACAATCCTGGCTAAAAATAGGCAAATCTATGATATAAAGTGCAACAGAAATTCCATTGCATACATACAAAATTCCATTTAAGTAGCTTTCACTCCGCTTCTTTTAGACTTTGCAACTTTAAATTTGATGCATTCTCCATCATGTCGACAGATCAAGGACTACTTGAATAGGATAGCAACCACTAAATTGCCTCACTTTACCCCCGCCCACCCAATTCGTCTTCTCCTCCTCCCCTTAAAATAACCAGACCTTGGATTTCTTTCTCTTATGTACATGCTTACTTACGTGGTCCGTCAAGTCAACACTGGGCATAAGACATCCCTTCACAAGTATGAGTGACGGACATACGCAGAGAAAAAATCCGATGCACATACATACATTTCTTGCCCAGAATACTTTACTTTCTCCACTCGAGTTTCGTCTTACCTTGCTTCTTCCCCGAGTTGTCCGAAGGTTAATAAATTTCCAGGAATTGGAATTCCCCAAGCTGCCTTGGTCTTGTGAACTGTTTTCAGGCAAGTTTTAAACTTAAAGTCTAACAAGGAAAAATTAAATTAGGTTTCAAATACGTCTTTTATTTGTTTAGTTTTGAGTTTTGGGGTTTAAACTTTTGTAATTTTTCTTCCTTTGTATCACCCTCTCGACTAGGAGTTTAGAGAGAGTAGACGTCCTTATTATTCGGCTATCACTATCCAACACACACCACTAAGAAAACCACAGAAACAGGCTGACTATCTCTGCTCGAGAGGAAAAACTATTCAATTTTATAGGAACAAATACGTTCCTACTTCTTGTTCTTTGCGTTCTCCTTTATGCAGAGGAAGGAGAAAGTAGCTTTTCCATTTCAAGAGGGGAAGAGAAGAAGAACGATACTAACCGATGGGAAAAGTTCAGAGTTTTCTGTGTGTACACTCGCAGCGTGAAATGTCTCAACTTTTTTTCACAAGTTTGTGACTCAAGCAATTATTGCAAAATTAATAGAGCGCATTTACATACGTATGCCGAATGAGTAAGAGGTGTGTGATGGTAGGTATGGATGATTTTTTTACAGGCTTGATTAGCCCTTTGCCTGGATGAAAGTCATTCTCGTGGAGAAATTGTTCCACAAAAAATTGTTTACTTGACACAAAAATCACACAATTGGTTCACACTCGAGATCAAACAGGGTTGTTTTTCAGACCTGTTTTGCCCTCGTAATTTCCACTTGGTTAAACAAACAAGGTTGAAAAGTTAATAGTTTCTCGCTTAATCAGCAGTTATGTAGGAGCAGATCAAAAAGAAGGAAAATACGTGTATGAAACAACAACATTTATCAGTTTTCTCAGGAAAGTATGTCCGTTATTAAACACGAAACCGCTGGAGTGTTAAGAGAGCGAAACAGAGATCAGTAAGTACGTCGTAGGTAAATTGTTTTTTGGGAGTTTGAGAAATTGTGAAATTTTCAGGATGCCGTAATGTAACTTTGAGGAAGAAGATTTCGCTGGAAAGAAAACCGCAAGGTTGTTGCCGTCTAATGAAGAAAGTGAAGTTTTGTAGCTGGTTGGCGTTGTGTAAAGTAATGTAGTCGAGGTGGTGGTGGATAAGTTGAGATTGGCGAGTGGACGAGAGCGTGCTCTGTTGTGGTCCGTTTGCTCGGAGAACTTTCACCCAACTGACGCATTGTTGCAAACGGGGCAAAGGTTTATACTCGTTCTGGTTTGGTTTGTTTTCCATCCAAGCCTTGCATTTCGGCTTGATAGGAGTCTTTGCTTTGAAGAATTTTGAAATTGCTTCGAAATTTTGATAGGTCACGTTTTTAATTTATGGAGAAAATCAAAGATATCCAGATTACGTAAGAACACGGCACAATCTGCTCGAGTGAAGGAACGGATTAGGAATTAGCATGGTCCGTCTCGTTATCCCGTCATGTGGTTAATACGAATTTCCGTCGAATTGCGATCCCTGCAAATCACGAATTTCTAAAGAGCCTCCAGCCAAATTCAGTTACATAGATCGTAGTCCCCCACGTGCAAAATTGTATGTAAAGCATTGTCTCACTGGGTAGGAACAATTATGCATTTGGAATGTTGGTTATGGTATTCAATTGGACAAGTTTGTATGTGTTACAAGCAGTAATTTATGTATTTGAGTGATGGCGTGATGACGCAGGAAATTTATCCGCTTAACGTTTATCCCGCATTGTAAACAACTTGTCAATTATGCTTCAAAATTTTGATGTGCTACAATTATTCGCAAGTGCATATCTATCAAATCAAGGATTTAACAGGTGATCCATATATTTACATGGAATTGCCAGTTGCAGATTATTTGCTGAATGTCTGGCCGAGTTGAAAGGTGGAATTCAGACTTAAACTATGGGTATGAAGTTGAAGACACTGCCATTACAATTCGCAAACATGGGAAATTATTGGGTTCGAAACTGCATTGTTTTATTCTACTTATTACTTATGTAACTTTAAAGCTGGCAATAGGGAGACTCGATTACATGCAAAATCCAAATCTGACCCATTAATTTGGCATGCTATGTATCACTCCCACACGGATATGTAAAATTTAGTGTCGATTAATTCATATAATAAAGTATCACTCGCTTCTTCCGCTTCCTTTGCAAGATAGTCGAGAAAGCGATAAGTATGTAATTCGGCGCCTTTCTCTTCCTCCACTAATGCAAAATCATCCTCTTATTTTTATGCCATTACTTGAGCCAAAGTTACACAGATATCAAATTTGGACAATGCGAATCCTGCAGAATTGCGAAATTACAAGCAAACTCGGAAATCATCTAGCCAACCGAATGTTTTCTGTTTACTTGTTTTCTCCCCCATTCATCGTACTTATTCCTTGTTATTTTCACAATTTGAAAATTGTACGTTTCTAAAATAAAAGAGTAGAAAACAAATAAATAAAAACAACCAGGTACATAGTAGCAAAATCAAACAGTTTACTAACCCCTTCAAAAAAATTCGCAAGTTCAACACTTTTTATCCCTGAACAGAAAGAAAAAATGTTGCAAAAATATCGCGAAATCTATAGTGTACCAAGTAAAGTAAATGTTTTGGTTGAACGAGTCCCTCCATTGTTGATTCTTGCCTGTCCCGAGATCAACCCGAATTGGACGTGAGTCTGAGCTTTATTTTATTCGAAGTGACGTATTTCATCGAAATTTGAGAAATTTAGAACATTGTCAGCAGCTCAAGTAAAGAGAAAGTGCTACATCGAATTTCATTCCATTTTCTACACTTGCTTGATGTTGGTTGTTGCCCTTCCCATTCTGGTCTAGTTTCCTCCTCTCCTCCTTGTTGTTCTATCCGAGAGGAGAGAGAAAGCAGCGAAATGAAATTCACTACCAAATAAAGGAACACGATTTACTACCATTTCGATACGCTTGGCTGCATTAGTAACAAAAGGTGCGGTAATAGTACGAGTGATGGCTGGTGTGTTGTAGGGAAAGTGGTCCGCTCTGATGAATTCAAACGCACAATAAAATTTTGAACAACAAACACAAACACCTACCGACGAGAATTTTGAAATTATCAAGTGAATTATGAATCCAGTCGTGAATTACATTATGGTGAAAGTTGAGTATGTAGAAGTAAATAAAGGGGAGAGTCTTTCTTTCTTTGTAACAAAATGTTAGAGCTGATCCGATTACGGAAACCGATTTCACTTTTACTCACTCTCCCCCACCCAAGTTTTCTACAAGTATGTAATATTATTTATTATAAAGTTGAGAGTCTCCTCTCCATTTACAAGAATGCAATTAATGCATCATCGCATGTATCATGAACCGCTGGAGCGAGCAGCAGAGAGGAAACCACAGCCAGCACACAAATTTTATCATTATTAATTTTAAATGAAATATACTGCGCTCGAGTTTTAGAGGTCACTTTTTATTTTCAAGGAGGAAGGAAGAATTTCCCAATTTATTGAAATTTGGCCTAGCCCGTCAGTCAGAGAGAGAGATGATTTTATTTCATTTTATACTTCACGTCGATCCATCCAGTTGCTCTCGGCTCATCTGGACTCGACTTGCTTTCACCCACTCCACAATCACGATGTAGATCAATTTTGTTTGTGTGTGCAGTTGTAGTTGTTGTGCTAAATGCTGCTGCTGCTTCCTTTCATACATAAGTAGTCGTCGTGGTGAGTAGCATGGTCGAGAAGCTGCAGTGCACTACATCAGAATGCCAAGTTTGTGAAGAGGTCTTCTCCTTCCTCCAGTGTTCACGCTTATTGCACAGTTGAGCACCCCGCTACAATTCCTGGATGATGATGAAAGGCTGAAAACCGGAATGGGTCATGATGATGGAGAGATTTCAAACTATTTAACATCGAGCCGGACCAAGGAGTGATTGCAGACAACAGACTCTCGTAACCTTGGACTGGACAGCTTTCACCACACCGACCGACATCAATACTTGACCAGTAAACTAAACCAAACTTAAGACACTCTTCTCCGTTTAGTGGAGTCTATTTTCGAGATAAAACCTAAATAATGAATCCTGGTTAACAGCTAGGTCACGTCGAGAGCAAAGTGAGTGGTGGTGGCCTGCTCTTTACATTACATGGTTTTTTCTTCTCTCCCTCTATTTAGAGAAAGATTGTAGGAATTTTCAATAAGAAACGGTAACCCAATTCCTCCCAAGAAAGAAATGACGTGAGCTGGATGGACGTAAATATTTATTTATTAAATACAAATCAAATCAATCCACCCACACGTAATTAATTGTATGAGGAGAGAAAGGAGTTATTTTGCTAATTGGATTCGTCCCTGTCTCTTTGTGCTCTTTAATTTCTCGTGTTTTTTGAGGAGGCGGAGAAAGTGAAAAGTTTCCCTTGCACGAGTCAACAACAAGAGGTATCACGTATCCTGTTTTTTTGCTTAAATAGAATGCGCGATTTACGTAACCTTTTCTTACTTCTGGGAGTGTCGACGCCTGGGTCGAGGTCAGTCGGTAGGAGGATTTCTCTTTTAAAACGAAATTGAATGGAATCGTATCTCAAATTGATTCCAGTTTAATGTATGCACTCCTTTCTTGTAAATTTGAAAAATCACGTCTTCAATGGAAATAAATGCATTGAAATGTCGATTTTCAAAAGGAAACGGAGTGGGAATCTCTCTCTTGAAGGTGTTATGTGAAATGGGTCGCGAAATGGAGGATTTCACTGCAAATCCAGTCCATACTTTTTGAAGTGCAGGGAGTGAAAGCTGGGTGTACTACATAGTGAAAGGATTGACGGATTTCCGTCCTTCTTCTTCTCGCTTCGAATAGTTTGCACTACATAAATTTAAGGATGCATACTTTACCGGGTCGAGTTGCAAGTTGGTTTTGGTCCGTTTTGACGGTGGCCAGAGAGCAAAGCAGTTCAGAAATGTGAGGTTGCACTCCTTTGAGATCAAGTGAAAGCGGGTTCCCTTACGGACCGGGGGAAGATTGAGTCCCAACTTTATTGTGTCGTGCTACATACAATATTTTGCAATTCGAATAAAGTGCATATTTTGTAGGGCAAAAAATGGGACACTTTTGACTCGACATTCCAGCTACCTAATTATTCGTGTGGCTCAATCCTTGTAACAGGTTGATATTTAGGTTGTTGGAGTTTGTTACATAACAAAATTTTAATTGCTTTCACTTCCGGTTATATTTTAGAGTTAATTATTATTTTGTATCCGAAGTACACAAGAAATAAATTATGGAGGACGTATTTGGTTGTTTCGCAATTATGTCCACATGCCCCTTTGGATTGGAAATGGACCAAATAAATTCATTACTTTGCGCAATGGAGTGGAAATATCAGTATCTGTCTGGTAGCTTCTTTATTGGTGGACATTTTCAGGCGGCCAAAATTATAAAGCCATCCACCACCCATACCCATTAATTGTGTCGTTTCGTTATTGAACCACACAGCCAAATATCGTGTATTCCCTACTTGCTTCCTTCACACTTGACTGGACTGAATCCTCCAGTGAAATTGACCTAGCTCAACTACGCACAACAAACCGATAAATTTTAACAGGCCGTGATGAATACGACGCAACTACTGGAATACACTTACGTAATAACACGATTTAGAAATAAGATTCTCAACTAGAAAGTAAATACAGAGTTGAACGTGCTGCGTGTTAACGAACCCACCCAAATTCCTTTAGACACCCGCAAGTAAGTATTTTACAGTTGTATGTAAATGCATACCCACAAATTGGAGAAAGATTGGAATGAATACGTAGATTTAGACCCTGTTAGTGTTCGAGTGTATTTTACGTTGGTCTGGAATGATTGGAAATAACAAGACAAAAATATTTATGTAAGTCAAATACTCGTACAAATTAAAGTTATGTAAAGAGATAAGTTTGTTATGGTTTTGTGAATTTGGTGTAAAATTCAATCACGCAAAAGGCAAGTTGTGGTTCAAATTCCATGACTAAATAAACGGTGAAGCTGGGTCATACCGTTAGGCTGAAGAAGTTGGCGTGTTTCAGCTTCCAACGTATGTACATAGGAACACGTAGTTTGCCTGACACTTTCTCCCACCAGAGACAGCCTGTCCCTTAGTGGGTGTCGTTTGTAACGGGTAATTCGACTTCTCCTGTACAATTAAAATTAACAAACCCTCACCAACCAACCCGCAAAACTGTACGTACATCTTCTCTCCGAGAAAGTTTAAGATTTCAAGTTTTCCTCGTTCTCTGTGACTAAATTAAATGGGTGTAGTTTACTGTACGCACATAATAGCCCTCCTGCTTTTGTAACTTTCACCGGAAGTGAAATCGGGGAAAATGTTAATTTCCTTCTTTTGTTTCGCTTCACTTTTGGGCAAAATTTGTGCTGAAATGTGTTATGCTAAGTTACAAAAGTATATAACAACCTTCAACCATAACTGAATATTTGCATGAAGGCTCCTTATTATTATTTCGTAAGAAAGGGGGGACGTTTCACCTTCGGTGGGTGATTGATTTGGGATTTCTGAGTGAATATAAAGCCAGGAATTATGTAGTATCGACATCATGGCCATGTTTTTGGCTGGTGGAATGCAACATGTCCACATTTCAAGGAGGGAGTTGAAGTGTCAGAATGCAGGTAGTCATGTAAGAGGGTCGTTCACTTATTAAGCTGCAGATCGCGTGTGCATATTCCCACGTCTGCTTTCCGTCTCCGTGGGGAATGATGGAGAGAGAAAGTGGGCGGTCAAGAAGAATTCGACTCCTTTACTTTTCCTTTTCTTTGTTCTGGCTTGACTGAACTGCACCCTGAATTTATTTCGTTGGCTGCAAAAGCGGTCGAGACTGACCTCAATTTCAAATGTACCAATCAATTTATTTCATTGCAATACATGCAACCAGACAGGGAAAATTGGGGGATTTTAGAGGAAAATTAAATATGGGACGGTAAGTTCGTGAAAATTCAGGAAAAAATAACGTAATTTCAGAAATCTTGAAATGAAGTGCAATAAAGTAACAGGCACCCAAGGACCGATGATCTTAGAAAAAAATAATTTCATAAAAATAATACATTTCCATCAGTGGTTTCCAACAGTAGCAAAATTTGGCACACTTTAAACTAATTGACTTTCCAGTCACACCATTTTGCAAATATTACAATCCACCATATAAACAGTCTGGATCTTTACTTATGTTACTGCCGAGATACATATTTTCTCCTCAAAATGTATCCCATTGTTGTAATATGTATTTCTTCGCATAAAGTAGCGAATTTCGCAAATTTCTATTTATTCCCGTACAATGGAATATAGATACGAGACAACCCAGTTATTAGGCGGAGGAGAGTTTAGCCTTAAATTTAGGAGAAGTGACAGAGGGAAAAGGAGGAAGAATACGAGATCCATAAATCCTATTAGTCCTCGTCCAACTTGTCTTTGGCATTAGTTCTCGTCCTCCTCCTCTTCGTAATAAGTAAGCTCTTTAGTCAACTTCAACTTTCTCTCGTGCCCCCGCTCCACCATTTCCTCTCCTTGTCTGCCTTACACTCGGTGAAGTGAGTGATATAAGATAAGAAGAACGACTTGTTACCATTGTTATGTATTAAATGAAAACTAAAACCAAGAGGTCTTCCTCCTCCACTATACGAATTAGTTATCGTGTGCTTAATAATGAACCTACCCATCCATCCATGCTTATACGTACGGAGTTCTACTGCACGCTTAATTTTTCGCCTTCATTCCACTTAAACTTATTAACTCTTTGGATGGAATTTTGAAATCGGATACGAACGGCGATATCTTTGTCAATTTCGTTATAAAGACAATGGCGAGAGAAGGGTATTAAAATTGGCTTCAGCAAGGTCTTGATTATCTCAAGAAATCCGGGATGAATGTAGAGTGGAAAATCCTTCACCCCAATTACGAGGAAGAAAGCACTTACTTTATTTGGTCTTTTAACTGCCTGGAATTTTTAGTATAATTAAATTTAATTAGGTTAATATGCATATAGGTCTGCACTGGAGAACATGTACCATTCCCAGCAGTAAAATCCAAGCAAGTCGGAAAATGTCATCATTATGAAGAATTGTGTGACTTTTAGTTACTGTCAACCATTTTATTTTACTGGGTCGGCCGAATAAAGTCACTCACTCCGAGTAATTTATCATATTGCAAATTTCACCCGAAAATTAATTCCTTTCCCGTAAATCGCGTGTAAATAGTGGCTGGCGTATGAAGAACGGAAGTTGTAACTTTGTCGGCATGTATTGTAAAGAAAAGAAGAATGCAAACTTATAAGCGCCATGGAACGAAGTGGAGCAAATTTTCAAACCAAGATTTGCCCAGCTATTCGTACATAAATGCATATTCAGAGAGCAAAAGACGAGTAACTTTCTTCTTCTTAAAGGGACCTCACATTCAGACAAGATTTTCCAAATTGAACTAAACTAATCCTGTCATCATCATGTTTCGTGACGTGACATTTAGTCACTTCTTGTTCGCATTGTTTCCTAAATTTGTTAACCAAGTCGTTCGTTACTGAGTTGGGACTATCTATCCATCAGAGGGATGACCCGACTTTGTGAAAATATGGTTGTCACTGTCAATTATTAAACGTGTCAAAAGTTCAGTGCAAATTTATTTAGGGCGCATTTATTGTTCTTCGAGGGTGACAGGAAGCTAAGTATTTCTAGCCTTGACTTGATTGATTTGCTTGCATTGAGGGGGTGCACAAAAGTACGGAATTTCGAGGAAAATATGTATCACGTTCTGTTATGATGACGTTCTACATTTCGATTATTTATTTATCTATTTACATGTCTGCCTACGGTGTACGAAATTACTTTTATTTATCCGGGATGCACATGATCTTCACGCTTTCCTGCCATTTTCCTTCAACCCACAACGCACGAGTCAACATGTTTAGAATTTAACCTTTCGAAAGAGTTTAAATTTCACGGTGAGCGAGCCGATTACATAATAAGTACCTAAAACAAGTTCAACAAGTCAATTCAATTTTGGACGGGTTATAAAGAAACAAAATGTGTTCCGGACTTTAATTTATCTATCCTGCTCCCACTCCTTGTCCGATTGACGCAAATAAGTCGAAATTCTACATAAAAATGCGATACAATTTAATTCCCCTGAAAAAAAAACATGTACCCTTTCACCTCCATCCTCCTCTCCATTTTAACAATTGTAAAAAAGAACCAATTTATTTTTAAACGATCGCGTAATACAAAAAATAATAGTCACCAACGTCTCCCTCCTCCATAAAAAAACTGAATCTACGGCGTCCCCCATCACGTGATTAAGTGTGACTACATACACGTGTACATACATGAAAAAGGCCCTTATTGCTAAACTAACGTTATCAGGGGAGAAAAAAAAAGATTTCAGAAGCGCATATGGGAAAGTATTTTATTCGAGTATCACCATTATAGGCAGGAACATGTATAATTTTGGTGATTTGAATGCATAGAAAGAAATTCTTGTTCTCAGCCTTGTGCAGGATGTTGGTTTAGTCGGAGAACAAATTGGCTCCATTTCCGGTACAGGCAAATCCACGCACCGATACGAAGCTACGTTTTTATTGAGGTCTTCCTACCTACACACACGGCTACTTTTCCAGTTGGATTGGATCGAACAGGTTCTGCATACCTAAACTGAACGTGGAAGTGAAATAAGATCAAAGGCTGACAGTTTTACACAGTTTTTTTTTATAGAATTCTAATTTTAATAGGAGTCAAGGCATGCAAATCAGTAGAATTTTATAATAAAATTGATTCAATCGTTATTGCACATCGATACTGTCCGCGACCTGTGCAACCCAGTATATTTTGAATGACTGAACAGTCGTTACTCTGAAAAAGAGATCAAAATCAAAGATATTATCATGTCATAATTATTTTCAAAAATTCAAAACTTACAAAATTTGATATTTTCCCTTTTCCTGGGGGGCAGTCCAGGTCACGCTGATGGAGTTCTTGACATCGTTGTTCGTATGCGTGATCGAGGCATGGTCATGGTGACACGTTATCGTTTTTGAGTCCGGCCCACCACTCGTAAATATTCCGTGGGGGGTTGTGTCCCCTGTCCCGCTGTGCTTCCGCCCTTGGGCGAGAAAACCTTTCAATCCTGGCTTACCGGAAATCGTGAGCTTTATTTTCTCCCCAGGCTTAACACTCGTCGTGTCCAAGGCGAGTTTATATGGCGACGGGGACGTTTGAGCAGGGTGTCCATGGCCAGGCATCAACGTGGCGCAGGTACCGTTGGGGGCGCCTGTGGGGAAAGAGGCGACCTTGGTGATGGGGTTAAAAGAGATGAGGACGAGGAATGTGAGACAGGACGATGTCAAGGATGACGATAATTTGGCCATGGTTTCTGTGAATGACGACGTTTTCCCAGGATGGGTGACGATGAATGACTTCACCGCTGATATTGGTAGTACCATATGCGGTCATGCTTACTTTACTACACGTGCCAATTATTTTCGCAATTTCCAACCACAATGGAAAACAATGCCGATAAAAAAGCTATTATTTAGTAATTGATTGTTATTCAAAATCTATTGTAGTCTTCGATTTTGTGAATGACTTGAACAAAATGAATAGCGATTTTTAACCTTCTCAGAATTAAACAATTGTATCAAATTATGTATTACAATTATTATCAAACGACGCTACTTTATTATTTTAATGGGTTCGCGTATTAATTTAGAGATGAAAATAGAAATCAAGAAAGAAAGAACCGACAGTACGTGACAAGACGCAATGAGAAAAAGAAAACCCAGCTTTTGCACACTACGTTTCTGTGGTTTGGTTTGGTTTTATGCTCTAATTGCCAAAAGTGAGTTATGGACATGGATAAAATAAATTACAGTGTGACCGTGATTCTTTCGGGGCATGCATGCGTCGTCGTCTTACACTTACTTTCAGGAGGGGAGCTTGCGAGGTTGATAATAACAGATCTCGATGCCCTTTGGATATGTGGTAGGGTCTCATGAGTGTACTAAAACCCTGAAGTGGTTTGACTCCATGGCCACATTTGCGCCCGCCACACCCACTCAAAAATGTCCAAAAAACGCTTTCACTCCAGTTTTCACTCACTCAAATCCACGTCAAAAATCCAATTTTACTCGGATTTTGAAATTTCTTTCATCATTACACTCCCAGATAGTTGCTTTCTTCAATCCAATATCAAACCCAATTTTTTTAGTATTTTTAAAATTTGAAATTCTGAATGAGGATTGTTGTAGTAATCAACAACTCAAATTACGCCTGCGAAATAATCATCAGCAAAATTGAGTTTGATATGGAATTGAAGAAAGCAACTATCTGGGAGCGTAATGATGAAAGAAATTTCAAAATCCGAGTAAAATTGGATTTCTGGCGTGGATTTGAGTGAGTGAAAACTGGAGTGAAAGCGTTTTTTGGGCATTTTTGAGTGGGTGTGGCGGGCGCAAATGTGGCCATGGAGTCAAACCACTTCAGGGTTTTAGTACACTCATGAGACCCTATCACATATCCAAAGGGCATCGAGATCTGTTATTATCAACCTCGCAAGCTCCCCTCCTCAGTTGGTTTTGCACTAAAAAACTTCAGGGTTGCTGAGAATCTCACAATGTGAACCAATTTCATGTTAAAGTATGACGCCAAAATGTAATGAAACCCTCAAAATAGATGCTTTTACACTTATTTTTAAAAGAAGCAATCGAGCCACACCTCGTCGCACAAATTTGATTTCTTCTGCTGCAACAAGCCAAAAATATGCTTCACGATCCGTATTTCAAATCGAATAATCGAAAAAGCTGACCAAATTATTACGACATTTTTAGACTGCTCAATCCATTCCGCAACTTATTTTGTGGTCTAGTTCGGCTGGATGGTTCAGTTCAAGGCCATTGACGACGTCACGATTGATTTCTTCCGCACCCCCTCCACACTGCACTTTGCTTTCTGCTTGAACATCGAGCCAATATTGTCAAGACTCGTTACGTTTTCTTGCCTCTTGCTGCACAAAGTACACAAAAAGGGTGTTTTTTTCTGACGTCGTGGAGTTTGTCCTGACCCATCGTCTCCCTTTTGAAACGAGATTGGACGTCGAGTGAGAGAAATTGCATTCGAATCTGGCCTGATTTCTTGGCAGAATCTCAATTCATTCAGATTTCTGTACTCACTCAACTCCTTCCTCTTCCACATTGGCCAAGTCGGTCGAAAAAGAAGCCAAAATCGAGTAATGTGGCTGAAAAGACCACTTTGTAGTCAAATACGATTCTCTACCCGTATACATGGTAAGTGGGTAAAGATAATAATTATTTGATGGAAAGGTTAGTAGAGCAAAAAATTAGATGAACATGTCCAAAATGCAGATCCATCCAACCATCCAACACATGCCCGGGTAGAGGTCAGAAACCTTTAAATCGCCCGATACCGTCGTTACATTTCTATGGTACGTATACACACCCTCATGTCAACGCAGGCCTTCTTGCTGAGGTCGGCTGGAATGCAGGTCTCTTTAAATAATGTAATGAAGTGAACAAGCATAATGGACAATAACACGGTGTGATGCGATACCGCAGCAGTACGTACGAGGTACGACCTCCATCTCATGTGGTATCAGTAGTAAAGCCACCACGCCATGAAATGTAAAGTCTCTCCGTCTCTCCCTCTCTTCCAGACATCAAAAGTGGAACAGTTTGTTTTTCGAATGTATGCACATAACATAACGCCACCAAGCTCAAGTTGAAGGAGAGAGAAAGCCAAGCAAGGCAGAAGGCAAAGTCATTCATGAATGTATAAATAATTTGGATTTTGGTATTAGAATTGAGCTCATGAAACCAAATCCGAAATATTTTATTCATGAATTTACAACAACAACAAGTATATGTACTAGAAAACTAGAAAACCAAACATGAAATGAAACAAAATGGGGTAAATATATAGATGTGTTTCTTATTGTTACGACCGTGTGGTGGGATATGGGCGGCATGAATGTGATCATGGACCCACTGCAAGGACGGGAAGAGTCTGGTTTTTGCAATGGTTTCCTGAATTATATGGGGGAAATTTTTATCTCATTATTTCAAAAGTTTGGTATGGTCTAGACGAGCTGGTTATGCAATGTAATATTTGCATTTCTTTCGTCTTGTGCTTTTTACTTGGCAATTAAAAATGTTAGGACGACTGGACTGGACAAAAATATATATCGTTGCGTAACACCTCCTCATCCGTTATTCGTCGTAGAACAAGTTTTTGTGTACTTGAAAATTTATACCCTCATTCCTTCCTCTTTCCTCTTTCATAGACACCAGAAATCAGATATGACGAGCATGTTATCTTTTACAGTTATTTTTCTCGAGGAATACTTCTTTGAAATAATTCGTGGCCCTTTCGCAACAAGGGAAGTAGGGGTTCCAGTCCCGGGATTTTTCGGGATTTAATTCCCGGGAATTCCCGGGATTTGAATGACTGAAATCCCGGAATTTCGGGATTTTTCAATTTGTCATTCAGAAGTGAAATTACTTGTAATTTACTATTTTAATAGCAGTTTTATATAATTTTCGGTTATATGATTGGTAAGAAAAAGCTTTGAAGAGCATAACCAGTCAAAATTGATCCTAAAGTCGAAAATTTACATTCTAAACAATATTGGTAGCCGTATTTTTCGAATATTCATCCAAATTTTGTATTTAATTCACAAATAAAATTTTTAATACAACATGGAACTTAAAATTTTCTAATTTAGATGTCAGATATTAAATTGAAGCAACAAGAACGCCGTATTTTCGGCATAATTATGGAATCCGAAATCACGTATGCCCAAAAACACTAAAACGTTACAAGTGATTCCAAATTTTAGTCGATGAATTTAAGGCTGAATGAAAAGCTTTTTGACTGAACGAGGTAGTTCGTATATTTGAGCTTGAAATTTTTGAATTGCCAAATTCCATGTCCAATTGTAGTTTTTGAATAATTGTTCGCGATTTAGGCCAAATAATACTGCTAAACTTAAGTTTGTGCATTTCTGGTTAACATGGTGGCGAACCCTTGATTAATTATTTATGTTTTCTGGAATGAAATTATCAAACTTTTTCTCATCACCTCTCCAAGATAGATGACGAAAATTGAGCTACCACAATACATCGAAATTTTGCATTTATCATAGCAGGCAAAACAATATGCTCGCTAATTTGTGTTACTATCATGTGTATGCCAGAAAATAGCATACTTTATAATAATACTTATGAATGCACATATTTGGAAAACACACATCAGTAGATATGTAAATATTATGTAATATGTAATGTAAGTATTATAAATATGCTCAGGCTCGGTACTTTTAGAGCCATGTGCACCATAATTTGACTAAGTTATACGGTAATATTTGAATTTCGGGAAAAAATCCCGGAATTTCCCGGGATTTGTCACGGCGAAAACCGGGATTCCCGATTCCCGGGATTTAAAAAATCGTCCGGGATTGGAATCCCTAAAGGGAAGTATAAAGGGACGAGATGTTTACCACAATTTATGGCAATTTCCCGTCTGGTAATGACTTCATTTGAGGAATGACTTTGAACTCGGGACGCACTTGTCTCGATGTCGATGGTTATACTCGCCCAAATCTTAGGTACACCCACGCGACGACGGTACACCGGAAATTGTTCTACGCTTTACGAGAACGCAGGCTAAAAAAGGTACAAACGTGATAAAGAGAAAAGTCGACCCAGAAAATAGCTCGACTGGATTTTGATGCTTACAAAGTAAAGAAGATGCTCTGTCCTCAGTAAAGTTATGATCCATCCATTTCCTCGCGATCGCATTTATTCCAAGGACCAAGCAAGATTTTATTGTCATCACGTTTCCGCAATACAATAATTTCTTCCCCGACGAGACAAAAGTACGGAACAAGAAATCGTGTAATGGGCCCAATATTAGAACAAATGAAGCCATTCTCTTAAAACAGGATTGCATTTACTGCCCCAATATTCTCCCCAATTGCAAAAATGGAAATATTCCGAGAACAAACGACACATTTACAGGAATGGACGAATTTTATCACGACCATGTATTTATAAAGGGCATTTGATGCTCATCTCATCCTCCACGATTTACCCATTTATTCGATTCCGGATTTTATTACGTTACACACACGACAATTCTATGCAATTTCGAGATCCCATCCAAATAAAAATGTGACATGGGTTTAACTTTGTTAAAATTATGGAATGTACGTATGTACATGGTTTGAATAAATTCGCAGCAGCCTTGGTAATGAGGCCTTATTTCCGAACGTTTTAATTGCAATTTTCGAACATAATTTTCGAACAGTTTCCATACAAATTTTTAGTGATAAATGTTCGAAAAATGAGACATCTTTGTCTGGAAATTTCAGAAAAAATTATCCAAATCTTCTCGCATTCCATGCACAACGATACCAAGTTTTACCCCTGAAATTTGAATTATCTTC